CTTCGCTGCCTTAGGCAATCTATATATTTGCCCCCTACTTCACTGATGCCTGTGCTCAGCCCAGCAGGAATCAGTATTCGGTATCCAAGAAAACAGACTAGTAAACACAGTCCTTCTCTCAAAAAGCTCCTTAACAGGTTTCTATTCTTTCTTTGGAGCAATTCTTCCTTGGTGGGCAGTGGGGGGCGAGGAAAAGATGGAGGCAGCTTGTGTTCAGCCATGTGTGTGCTCTGCTTCAGAAGTCATGGGAAAGAGCAGGACATGGAGAAAGGTGATGAACTGACAAGCTGGAAAGCAAGAAGCATATGCACGCAGAAGGAAGCTTAAAATGGCACATCTGACTTCTACCCAAGTTCGTCAGCTGGAGAACTTGGGTGTGTGGCAGGAATCCTGCCTTGGCAGCAGAAGCTGGTCTGGCGTCTAGTTTAATGGATTAGTGGGGGGAATCCTTTTCCCAGAATTCCACTCCAAGTGTTTTGGCTGATTTGCTGCAAGGCAAGCTCTACCTGGACAGCAGGGACCATTGTCACTTGCCAAGATCAAAGACGTTCTTGCCTCTGGCTTGTTGGTGAGTGCTTTTGTTGGAGGCTGCAGTGGGAAAAATTTATAAGTGGATATTATTGTATCTCATTCAAGTGAAATGCCCCTGAGGTGACTGAAGGCTCATAGGGGAGGAGGCAGGCTTAGTTTCTATTGTTTTCCTACATATGGATTGTATTTTTACTAGGTAAAAGATTGCTCCAAGGAGATGGTGTGGTTTCTTCAATATGTGCCAACAATGGAGTTGGGATGGCTCTATTAAAATATTGCTTAGACACTGGACTTAGTACTACCTTCTCTCATAGATACCTAACTGGTATCTGGGAATGGCAGCACAGAGCACCTGCAGAGGCCCGTGGCAATGCAGCAACCTCACGGCAGAGGAGGAGACTCTCTGGACCCTGCTTCTCCTTCCTATTACTACCTGTTCATTTGCTTTCCAAGCATGCAAGTAGAAACAGGAGAGAGGAGATGAAACAACCATGCTTTCTCTATGGGCAATTGCTGGGGCAGAGAGAGGGTAGCAGGGAATATGTGAATGAATGGTGGTGACACAGGCAGGGGGAGTGTACAGAGAAGGGCTGCTCTGAGAGCATCTCATTCCAGTACCGAAATCAGCAGCGCCCACATCATTTTGCAGAGGAACAAGTTTTGCACTGTTGTAACAAAACCTGACTCTGTACACTTGGCTGAAATCAGAGCTGCCATTCTTTTGCAACCTCATGGCTCAGTTATGGAACTCCAAGTGGTTCTTCTAACGCTTTCTGGAAGGATAAGCCAGACAATGATTGCAAATGTTTTGCAAAAGAAAGTTTTATGTGAATGATTCAGAAAATCACATGCATTTTTTTCTATCTAGAAAAGAGAGTCTCACCAGGCAGTTCTTATTGTTAATATCGTTTATGTTCGATTTCAACTATGACACACATGAGGAGATAGCAGAAAGTACATGGGCCATGAGCAGGACACATGGACACATCTGTTGGAGAAGCTTATGTATTTTTCAGGTGGGAGAGAGGTAAAACTTGTACAATTCCATGCTATTGTATTCCCAATCACTATGCATGGATGAAAAACGTCGACAAGAAGTAAACTGATGCATTCAAAACATGGTGCTGGAGAACAGCATTATGATTATCCTGAACAGACAGAAAGATGAACAAGTGGATCCTAAATCAAAGCCAGAACTTTTTCTGGAAGCGAAAATGATGACACTGAGGCTGTTGTACGTCAGGTACAGAATGAGATGGCAAGACTAACTGGAGAGGGCAGTAATACTAGGGAAAGCTGAAGACGACGACCAACTGTGAGATGGGTCAGTTTTATAGAGGAAGCCACAGGTGAGGTGGGGCAGAGCGGGGCATTCTTTCAGAGAGATACCTTAAGTTGGAGATGACTTGATGGCACATAACATCCACAACAGAGATGTACAAAAAAAGCTCTCACTTTGAGTAGAACAATAATACAAAAGAACAGAATTTGCAGTTTGCTTCCTGTGGTCTCCATTATCAGGTCCAATGCCACTCTGATTACCATAGGTATTAGCATCTCCATGCCAGTAATTTCTGTTATGTATAACAATGAAAAATAGTAATGAAGAGAAGGTATTAGGAAACTGCTGCCAGTCATTCAGTAGGCCTTTCATTTTCCTCCAGGCCTGGAAATATTCACCCAGGTTCTGACTCAGACTGAGAGGGAGTGGCCTTGGCAGTGGCTTGCGTACAGAATCACTATTACTGCATGTGCTTCGCATCAAGGAAGCTACGGCACCCTGCTTGGGGGAAAATATGCAAATATACAATCAACTCAAGCATTACAGTCATAATTATGGATATTTGCACATAAATTTGGTTCGACTGGAGTTTGGCAGGAGAAACAAACACTAGAAATGTAAGGGTAGAAAGACAGGAATCCTGGTAGGAAGAAGCCACTCCACCACACCAAGGTGTGATGTCATGGTAGATGGTCGTGGTTGCCCAGGGTTTTGCACCTAGCATGTAAGAAAGAGTTCCCATTTCTGTACTCCTGTGGTTGTATTTGCCCTGTGTCAATTTATGAATATTTTTAATAGAACCATCTTTAGATTTGTGACATGAAACAGTCCTCCCCCCAACTTGGATATTACATCACATTTGACTTATGGTAAACAAGTTTCAGGCATAATTCATTCTTGCATGGGAATGTGAGTACAGATATTATGTAGGGATAAGAAATACTACAGAGTAATTCCACTTGTTAAATATTCTGAACTGAAGAGTAAGGCATACACATTGAACAGTAAGCCCCTGATGGATCTACACCCAACAGATGTACAAAATCTTAAATTCAATCAATCCTATAAGTAATCATTCCTTATTCTTTACCCCAGAACTTGGCTATGGAGTGTTTGCTAGCTGCCATTTATTTATTTGATTTGCGTGATGTGTCCCCTGATTAAATATAGCCTCTCTGAGCGGCTTATATACAATCCATAGCCCTCATCTACATTTATTTATCTATCTATTAGATTTTTATCCCACCCCTTTAGCCACAAGGCCCCCTTATCATGAAGTAATAGTTGTCTCTGCTCAGGCAATGTTACAAATATTTTTAAAGAGTTAGTTTTTTCAAAACAAACAGCAACCCCTGTGCTAAATAATTGTTAGAAAGTTGCACTTCAAACAAGAAAACCGGTTAAAATAGCCAAGACTTCCCAAAGCAGGCAGAGAAGGACAAAAATCCATAATGGGATTTGAGTCAGATATATGTGCCAGTAACAGAGTAAGGGTGGGAAATGCAGAAGTCTCTTCTCTGCCAAAAAATCCACACTCACTTGTGGATGGAAGTTCCTCTAATTTCACCTCAACAACGGTGTCTGACTCCAGAAAGTACCCCATGACAAAGCCCGTTTAAGCTTGAACAAACATGCATATTTATAAAGAAAGAAGTCAAATAGTCATGGCATAGAAGAATGCAGTAAAAGTAAGTATCTAAAAAGCTCTCTTACCCCATTGTGCTTAAGTATTTAGAGCACCTAAAATGGCTAGTAGCTTCATAGAGGATAAGGCAGCAGGTCCTACCCACAGGATTCCAGTCTAAAGGCTAGTGAGGTGGTAATTACAGATGATGCCAATTTTACTTCCGCTTGCAGAGTCAGAGAGGTCAGGTATCTGTGTAGAAAGGAAACACCCTTGCTTCTGCCTGCCAGGGGGCAATAACCACAGCAATAACCCCTGACAGGAAAGCAGGGTTAATTATTTTGTTTGCACTAAACTCAATGCCAGTTGAATCAATTGGACAGTTGTGAATTTTAGTGTAAAGCGAGAAAATTAATTCATGTTGTTGCATGTTCTAAGTCAAGATCACAAGGGTGGGTAGTTAGTGTATTTCAGCTGTTTCCAACTACAGCCATAGTTCCTGACCATTTGCCCTGCCAGCTAGAACTTGGGAATTAAGCTCTAAAACAGCTGGAGGTCACAAGCTGCTCTCCCTGCTCCCTCCGTTAGCCCCTTACTCATATTCTTTTCTGAATGATAAAGATCCCAGCCTCTTAGTTTAGAACAATGAACGAACTGAGGGGGAAGTGATAGAAGCTAATTATATAAAGAATGGCTTTTTTGACTTTAGTTTTAGATGCTGTTTAGCAGTTATATTTATGTCACTCGAGAAGTAGCTAATTTACCAAAACGATGCTTTTGATATCACATATATATTTGGATCAAGTAAAGTTGCTGAGTGGGTTCTGAAACTTTCTGTGCTCTCTGTGAAACATTTGGCCTGATTTACTGGAACTATTTCTGAGCATTTCATTGGTTATTGGGATGGCAATTATAAGTGATCTTTGCCTGGACTATGGGGTGTTTCCACACAGAGAACTCTTAGTGCGGCCACTACGCTTCTGTTTTGTCTTTTCTTCAACACTAACACCTTTTTTTAAAAGAGATTGCTGTCTGAGCTTCCAGTATAAAGTTTTTGAACATGGCAAGACAGGGGAAAAGCCTCACTGGGGAGATGAAGAATTAATGTTTTTAATAAGATTTTACCTCAAATTGAGGTCATGTCTACACTTACAGCAAAAGGAGATGGTATTTCAGAGTGGGAGTAGGGGTAGAAATTAAAAAAAAAATACTTTAATGCTCCTTTTAATGTGCCTTGATTTAAAAATAAACTCCTTGCAAGTAAAAAACTAGTACAGTAAGGAAATGGGCTGGGCTATGAAATGACATTTAAAAAAAAAAAAAGTGGGGGAGCATTCAAAAATAGGACTCCTACTTTCAATCTGAAGCAATCCCATCCAGAATTCTACCAATTCAGCCTCACCTTAATGTTGAATATTATGTAGATGGTTTCTAAGATGGATAAAAACCTAACCTCTACCATTGAGGTTCTGGCAGAAACCCCAGTACCAAGAGAAAGATCCCTGGAATTGAGACTTTCATGGAATGCTAAAGGGTGATTATGTTTTCTTTCCTTTTTCCTAGATCATCAGAAGTTGGAACGAGAAGCTCGAATCTGCCGTCTTCTGAAGCATTCCAACATTGGTAAGTGTGGGAGTTGGTGGGATCCCTTGTTTTAAGTGAGGGTTTGGGTACGTTGAGGATTTTTGCCTGCTGCGTCTGTTTGCCAGGGAGGACGATTCAACAAGGGAAGGGAGAAGGGAATCTTTGTTCACTCCTGAGAGCCAAACTTTTGATGATCACTTAGGCTGAGAAAGCACTTGTCCTGAACCTGTTCCAAAAGAACTATGCATGCTAGTGCTCTTGTTCACATCGCATATATAAGCCTTTTCTAGCTGCAGTAATTTCTCTTACTCTGCATTGTAGAGCTCTCCATTAATAAAACCACAACCTGGATTCAGAAGCCGGAACAGTCTGAGATTGGCATTAATCCCTGTTCAGCAAATAGTTTCGAGTGAATGTGTGTTATGGCAGCAAAGCTGGCAAGTCCACTAGTCACATCCCACCTACAAGGAACTACCTTAATGCCATCCATATGGGGAATGCCCTCTCTAGGGAGATGCAGCTGGCGTCATCACTATGTATGGGTGGTATAGAAAGAAAGAAAGGAATGAATGAATAAAAAGTTTAGAACCTGGGTTGAAACCTTCTTCCGTCAGGCATTCACTTTCTAACCTGGAGCTCCAATACTGAAGTTGGTTCTTTAGTATTTTTAAGGTGTTGGCCATGCAATCCTGCATATATATGGACAGGAAAAGCCCCACAACTCCCAGCATCTGGGACATGCTGATACTTGTTGGACCTTGTTCTGTCTAAGCCTGCAGAAGTTTGCATCTCTATTGTTTTTTGAGCATTTCAGTGGTAATTAGGATGGCAATTTTGATACATTAATGAATGTTAACTGTATGTGTGTGGTCTTAATTGTATCATATGGTCCTGAACTATTGTGGCCCTGATTTATCAGTCAAGCCACCCCTTTTCAGCAGGGATTGAACGTTGCACTGAAAGACTATACTCCCCTGGCCACCCCCATTCCATTATAGAATCAGAATTAATTATGCAGGCAGGTAAAACTTGGCCTGGATATTCTTAACTGGCTTATTATACCCATAGCATACCTTAAGTAGATTTTTGTCCTGCAATTCCCAAGCTGTGGGTACTCTTTTCTGTCACAAACCAGGGAAGAAGGCAGGTGTGAATATTTGCAAGAGGAGTAATATTTTAAAGTCAGAGTAACTGGAGCTGGTTGGCAGAGCTGTGCATTGCACTAAGGCTGTTACTCATTTCCATAGTTTTGCAATGCTATGCAAAAGTATAAAATCTGGTCTCTAGTGTAATGTGTGATATTGGAAAGCTTACAAAACCTGAAGCTTTTGAACGGAGATGAGGAAGAATCAGAGCACGAGTCTGAATAAGATGCTACATTCTTGGGGTACTTCCAGATGGGGCTTTTATCCTGCCTCATTCATGGGATTTCGCTGAAGACATTGTCTTCCATCTGTAACAATCCTGCGTTTCCCCATTGTTGCGTCTATATTTTTTCTTTCCACAAAAATTCTGCTAAAGAAAGAAGATGGAATAGTTGTATAAGGCCTTCCATCTAGAAGCATCCCTGTTGAAGCTAAGGTGCTCTGAGGTGGACGTGTGTCCTGATGGGAAATGGCCTGGGAAGGAACCATGTGCGTACATCCCAGTCTGAGATATAAATGTGGTGAATCATGGTAATTCTATGGATCCTAGTTAAATTTTGAAATCGGGTTATTTTGGGTTAAAAATAAAGTTGCTTCTACTCATGGGAAGGAGTAGGGAGATACCTCTTCCTCTTCTTGCTCAGTAGAAATCCTATTCAGACCACATCTCACGCGCTTCTGAGATTTGCAGGGAAATGCCCCCATGCTTTCCGTCCTGTGCAGGCTTAGACAGAAGACATCCCAAACCTCCCAGCGTACATGAACCTCCCTGTGGTTTGGTCTGCACTTAGGAAGCAAATGGTCATTGCTGTGTCCATTTTCAGTATTTGTCACCTGCTTCCTTCTCTTCCTTTTGAAAATGGGCATTTATTGAGGAATCAAAATTCAAATGATATGAGCGGGTCTGTAGTTATTATCAGGTTGAATAGATATGCAAGCAGAGGAAATGTTCTGAGAAGGAGCATCATGGAAGAGAGAGAGTTAAAAGAAAGTTATTTCTTAATTGATGGTGTGTTCCAGTGAGTACTTGTCACCAGGTAATATTGGTTCAGAATGTGCACTTGTGTCCTTATTCTCTGACACTTGGGAAATATGGAAGATTTCCAGTGGAATAAGGACAGGACGTTTGAAATGGCTAAAAGCCCAAAGAAATACAAAACTGGGAAATCCTAGCATTGGCCAGCATAGGTACATTAATTTTGCACTGCAACCCATGAGAGTAAAATGGATTGACTGACTGAATATATTTTTAATCTAACCAATAATCAATATTTTCTTAGTGTATTACAAGAGTAATGTTAAAATGCAAAAGCTTTACAATACTGAGATAACACCTATTTTTGTATTTAATTTTCTATTCTGTCTTTCTGCACTAGTAAAATATAAAATTAGAGAATAATAAAAAAGCACATCTCAACAATACACAAGAGGCACAGTTAAAAAAGGCAACTCGTTAAAACTAAAACCACCCACCCACAGAAGAAAAATACCAGCCCTTTTGGCCAGTGTATTATTTAAACTTTTGCCACCAAGAAGACCTTTGTAAGCACATGTTGGGTATTAGCAGGATGCAGAGAGGACCCTCCCCAAAGATCTTAATTCACAGGCTGGTGAAGAATGGATTTGATTCTGTAGTTCCTATTTTTTTTTGGCATTCTGTTTTTGTTAGTCCTTCATGTATTAGATGCCAGGAAGCACTTCCTGACAGTCAGGACCCCGATGTGTGGAATGGGCTTCCACAGGGGGTCGTTGAGGCCCCATCGGTGCGGGTGTTCAAGGACAGGCTGGTGGACGTCCACATGGTGGGCATGTCGTGAGCGGAGCTGGGGGTCAGACTAGATGGCCCGGGAGACCCCTTCTGACTCGCTCTGTGTCTGTGTTTCTAATTGAGTTCTATATGCCACTGAGACTAAGTAAGGCTTGAGAGGCAGAACGCAAGACCTCCTGATCTGATGAGGAGGGGTTTCCCAGCTTTTCTTACAGGCGCCTTCTGTATAAAGCGTGCAGCCTACATCTCAGCAGCAAGAAAGGATTGTAGTGGGAGGAATACGGATCGGAAAAAGATGGGAGAACTGGGAGGTGGCAAGCGTAATGAGAGATAAATGAGGACAAATGTATTTGCACACACCTGGACTTCATTTAGATTTGGGTGACGGAGCAAGGACTTAACAGAAAATGCGACTTTTGGAAAGATGGCACATCTTTTGAAGATGGCACAATGGCATCTGGGAAGGAAATTTCAAGCTCCCACTCTTCCCCTCCCACACAAGAACAGCAATTGGGGGTGCAGACAGACTGGGCTGGTTCAAACGATGAAGTTCCGTGGTCAGTTGCACTCTGTTTCCGTTCAGCCTTACTGATAGGCTGTGTTTTATTTTTATTTATTTATTTTATTAAATAAATAAAATAAATAAAAGGGGAGTGGGTGGAGTGTATGAGCCCAAACCATCCCGCTATTCATATATGTAAAACAGACTGTTATGTATTGTTATGTGCTGTCCTTTCTCTCAGTCTGACTTACCTCACAGATGCTTTATATATATGAAAACGAAGTAGTCACAACCCTACCCTGAACTTTTTTGGGAGAAGCTGGGCTGTAAATGTGAAGATTAACAGACAGCCGCAGCTAAGGGCATTCAGTGTGGATTGTTCCTACTCTCTGGGTGTCAAGTTGTCCAACCCGCCCCCCCTTTCAACTCAACCCTGCTTCGTTTGGATGCGCTCCTAATTACTGATGCACTGTAGTTACCAATAAAAGCAAGGATGGTAGAACAAGAGTTTCTAGTAAGCCTTTTGCTAGATGGGTCTTTCGTTCTCAAACAAGTGGCCAATTAAAACTGTATGACACCCTTCCTGCCCACTCCAGTATGAACATTGTGTTTATGCCAGTTATTTTGTTTGAATCCTTTTTTGTCCTTTTTTAGTCTTCTGTTTTTCCCTCTTTGAAGTACATTAGTTTCTATGGAAACAATGTCGTCATGGGTACCTTCTAGGTAGGTTTAAAGACAGCCAGGGTGCAAAAAAATAAAAATCAGTTTATTATATAATGGAAATGAAACAGATGCCAAGCTTTGGAAATCTTGGTGAGGTGTACAGGAGATACTTAGCTTCTGTGAAAGGAAAATGTGTATGTCCGTATGGATACCTTTTCTCCAATATATAATATGGGGAACTTGTGCCTTGACACTGAGAAAATTCAAACGGGCTCACGGAACTTTGGCATTGCTCACTAGCTGATATTCATTAGTATCTGACCTCCTAATTCTTTGAAACCTTTGCTCTGAAGTGATCAGATAGACATGCATAAGGCAGTACAACTGATCACTCAGATTGGTTACACTTCCTCTCTGACCCTTTAGAGGCATTCCGTTAATTTACCCTTGTTCAGAAACAGTATTCAGAGTATACTGCAAAGGTGATGCATCTTACATTTTCTATTGATTATAAAGTCCCAACGATAGGCAGAGTCATGCTCTGAGCTTTACTGACCTCTCAGGAACTTTTCTAAGAGGTCCTGAAAATATACATTGACTGGATATGGGTCGTTAAATTCTGGGTTGTTGTGCTGTTGAAACAAGTACAGACAAGAACAACACAGCAATTCTGTATGCCAATACGGCGGCGCCACAAAGGCATTTGGTAGGATACAGAGAGGGTGCAGGTGAAGGAGAACAGAGGTAGGTCAATAAGCCATGGGTTAAATAAACCATGGATTAGCATTATGTATGAACCAAGTCAGTGAGTCCAAGTGGTTTGATACCCTCCTTTTTGTTATGCATGATGGTGCATCAGGAGGCAAGAAAACTGGCTGACCTTGGATTCTCAGCCCCTCCTTGCATGCCCAGTTCCATTGGGTGTTTTTGCACTAAGCAAAAATTCTGTGGAACCATATTG